CCCCCGCTGCTCCCCTCGGCAGTGGACTTCGTCCATCTGCCAGTTCCGCTCCCCGCTCTGGCTCTGGGGAGTCCTCTCACCCCGGCACCAGCCCTGTATGCATGCATAAACACATCCTTGAGAAAAAGGGGAGGTGAACCCCGGGGAGCTCCCCCACAGACGTGCGTGGCCGCGGGCTGCAGGGACGCGGCCGCCGGGCCGCCAGAGGGCAGCTCTGGCGCGCGTCACCGGGCAGACAGCCCCGGGAGCCAAGCCGACCTCGCGAACCCGCGTCCCCGCCCGCACCCCGCGCACAGCGCCCCGGCTCTGGAGCGGGGTGCCTGCCCCAGGCCTGGCCGAGCGCCTCGCTGTCACTCACCCAGGGCCGTGGCCGCCAGAGCAGCGAGCAGGGCCGCCTGCAGCAGGGCGGGGGCCCCGCGGCTCCGGGGCGCTCTGGGGTGCGCCCGTGACATGATCCTGCTGAGAGAATTCAGTTTCACCAAGGGGCCTCCCGCTTGGCTGGGCAAGGCGGGGCCCCACACCCGCGCAGGGACCCCGGCTCACCCCCACTGCGCCCCCTCCCCCGTGCCCCTCCCTCAGGGAAGACGACTCTCCTAAGCCCCGCCCAACGGTCCCTGCCTGGGGCCGGGTCGCTGCCCACCCACGGCGCTGGGCTCGTCCTGCGCCCCGACCCCGGCCGGCCACATGCCCGCCAGCTCAGGCCCCCCCGGTCCCGCCATAGCCTGTCCCACACTGCAGGGGAGCGATCCGTGGACTTCCCGCCCCTGCAGGGGCCGGGGGCCCTCGCTGAGGCCGGCCCTCCGGCCGTCCAAAGCCCAGGTCTCAGGAGTCTTCCCTCCCGCGCCGGGGTCCAGGCTGCCTCGGCCAGCCGCCCCAGGGCGGGCTCCACACAAGGGTGGCCCTCCCCAGACAGCACGGGGTGTCTCAGCTGCCCTCCCCACCCCCCCACTCTCCCCCAGCACCGGGAAGACAGGGGTCTCTGCACGTGGTGGAATATTACTCGGTCGTCAAAAAGATAAGCCCACGCCATTTGTGGCAACTGGGATGGGGCTGGAAGGGGTGACCCCTGAAGTAAGTCAGAGGGACAAGGGGCCCCTCAGATAGTTTCAACCTGGGAGCCAAGGGCGGGGTCCGCAGGGGAAGCCAGACCAGGGAGGAGAGCCTGCGCCGTGTGGTGGCTGCGGGACAGCTGGCGCTGGGACTTCATGGGGACGGCACAAGACGGACAGACAGAAACTGGGGGCCACGTCTGAGCAGTCTCAAGGCTCAGCTCAGCATTTTCAGCAGACTCACTGCAGCACCCCTGCATGCCGCAACACGCCCACACACGCCCTGGGGGCGCTCTGCAC